TAGAACGCTGACACGGAATAGTAGAAAACTATGAAATCAGGGAAGCTATAAAGTTGTAGGAGGCCTTCATGGCCTCCTTGATTTTCAGAGACTTTTTTCTCCTTCATAAAGGCTGGGATATTTCTAGAGTTCTACTGTGTCGTGTCAGCGTCAGCGCTCTCCTATTGTGAGGCTATGTTTTCTTTTTGAATTGTATACCCTATTTCACGAATATCCATCACGCTTTGACGACTGCTGAGGTGAACAGTGGATAAGCATGTGACATGTTTATGTTAGTCTTCAACGTTGGCAATAATGGATCGGGTATAAATCTTATAAAGCTTGTTTGTGTCGTTTTGTTTTTTGTATTCAAATGAGCTTTTCTAAACAAAAGAGCTGTTAGCAAGTACAAAATGAATCTGTAGCGTACAAAAACCCAAAACAAAGTTCGGCTCTGTCTACCTGGCGTTCTCAGATCCGTCAGAATTGTGATGTGCCCTGTGCCGATATGGGGAATTTTCAGATATTACTAGATAATCAGCTTTCATTCTACCGTGATGGATACTCGTGAAATAGAGTATACGAAATTTCATGCTATATAACAGATAATATACTAAGTGACATATAAATCCGAACACCCAGTTTAAATGGTTTTATTTTAATAAAATTTTGTATAAGTACTTAATGAAGCATAGTAAGTAAATGATAAAAATTTCAAAATGATTGCACTGCTTTAAAGCCCTTTGACCTTTAATAATGTGTGGATGCACCCTGATGTGCTACGCATTCTCCAACGCGCCTAGGCATGCTTCTGATCAGGTAGTCAATGTCCTCCTGTGGTATCTCATTCCAGACAACCACCAACTCCTCTCGAAGTGCTTCTAGAGTCTGAGGAGAACGTTGCAAATTGAGCAATCTCCTACCCATCATATCCCACACGTGCTCAATTGGGGATAAGTCGGGAGATCTTGGTGGCCATGGTAACAATGTGACATCATTATGTTGAAAGAAGTCTATTGTGACCCTTGCAACATGTGGTCGGGCATTATCTTGTTGGAAAGTTGGATCTGCCAGGGTGTCAAGATAGGGTAAAAGATGGGGTTCTAGAACTCCGTGGATATAACGCTGCGCGTTCATGTTACCTCTGATGAAGATTAAAGGTGACTTGGAACCATAAGCTATAGCACCCCAAACCATAACTCCAACAGTGTGATGAACATGTCTTCCAACAAAAAAACTGTGGATTCCTCCTTTCACCACGTCGCCTTCTAACCCTGGCACGACCATCGTGCATGCCTAAACAAAATGGGGACTCGTCACTAAAGACAATACTGTTCCATTCCTGATCCCAGAGTGACCATTGTCTGCACCACTCAAGGCGATTACGTCGGTGTTCTCGAGTTAAAGGGAGGACCCAGTGTGGCCGGTATGAAAACAAGCCAAAACTTCTCATTCGTCGGTAAACACTTCGCATGCCAATAGGTCTTCCGTGTTCTGCAAACTATGCATTTGTAATGGAGAAACGGTCCCTTAAGGCCAATAATCTTAGGCGGCGATCTTCACGGTCTGTTGTTCTACGGCGGCGTCCAGTGCCCCTTGCTCTTTGCGTACGGCCTTCTCGAAGCCATGCCTGACATTCACCTAACCACAGTGTCTACACTTCTTTGCACTCTAACTGCAATTGCCCAAAAAGAAAGTCCAGCTTCCCGAAGTCCCACTATACCATCAAACTCACTAAGTTGACGAAATCGTACAGGTCTCCGTACTCTAGGCATCGTAACCGATCGTAAAGGATGTCAAGAACCAAAATCCGCCAACGTTGATTCTTTACTGCGGCTGAAATATTCATTTTTAGAGCGTTAGTGAATTAAAAAAGAGCAGTATAAAAACCGGAATGTCCAACTGATAAGGCTGAAAATTTTTTCACTTGTTATTTACAGTAAGATAAATACATTCACCAACTTTTATTAAAATAAAACCATTTAAACTAGGTGTTCGGATTTATATGTTACTTAGTATATATATCAAAAGCTTGAACAACTCGGAAGAGTAGAAGACTACGAAAATCAAGGAGACCGTAAAGGCGTCCTACAATTGTAGGAACGACTGACGATACGGCCCTAAAACTCAAACAAAAATCTATCATTATTTCCCTCACTATGACATTATTATAACGCTATAACTTCAACAAGATAATAGACATTTGCATTGAAGCCGCTTCTTTTTACGGGCTCAAATCCATTAACATAAACTAACTTATCCCGAGTAATTGAATATTCTAGTTTAATACTTGCCGTGCTCTCTGGCTGGTAACAGGTGCTCTCTTGCTGACATTTCCGCCTTTATCACTGAACTTCCGACTGTAAAAAGGAGATAAAGTTGATACAGCTTTCGGGGTAAAACTTAGGTGTGCTCAAATCGCATCTTGGAAGAGAAGATGCAGAAAGTGACCCAAAACTAAATTAAACTAAATTATTCAGTCTGTTTAGTTTTGTTTACTCCTTTTCGAAAAAGTTGTCAGGACTTACGGATATTGTTAAGTACATGGTACCTTACTCAAGAAAAATGAAGCCGCATGGATAGGTTCAATGCAGAGTTACCTTCTGCACAGGCGTAATGGTACGAAAGGGTTGTAAAGTAGAATTTCAGCAACACAGTGAAAATAACAGATCCGAACAAAACGGCTTATTATATGGAGCCAATGAGATAACATTTATTCTATCACCAATAGTATTAAGTGTTGAAAATAGAACATTATCAAAGTATGAGATGACAGCTTGACATTCAAACATCACAAATTTGATTAATGTTAAAAAATAACATATAATTTAGCTCAAAATGGTGAAAATTGTTTAATTTGTGAATAAATTCATATTTTTCCGATCTTGCTGCATGTGTTTTATCGTACAAGAACATTTGCAGATGACATTCAGACTACTTAGGCGCCCACGGAAATTTTTCTCATGAGGAGTGTGGGGTTTTTGTCGATCAGCGGCAAGAGACAACATTTTATTTTTACCTGCTTCCAAAACTTTTGAAGAGCGACGAAAAGGAAATTTTCTCAAGGGAGCACAAGATCCTGAAAATCCCCAAAATGGTACACAAACATGGCGTCACGTAGGTTGACTGTGCTCATCGCACGCAACGCCCTCATCAGTACATAAAGGAATACCATTTGTTCAGCACAAATTAAATCCTCTGAGGAAAAAGTCAGTCAAAAGGTCCATACAATTAGCCCATCTTCCCTTCAGGCAGTGCATCTGGAAACGTCGCCTCTCCCCGATCAGTGGCAATGTAGTAGCTCGGTCAGAGGATAGAAAACACTATGCTATTGCGAGTTATTCCATTCCAGAACACTCATCACGGTCTAATAGGTGCGTAGAATCACCAATGTTGGGAAAGTATAAACGTACCAGCATAAAAAAATTGAGATAAGCCCCTTATACCTCACCCCAATTTTTTTTCCTCTACATTTTTTCCAAAAATGATCAGAATCCTCCGGAACCTCAAAAGAAACGAGGTTAGAGCTATTTTTGCTTTGTTCGCTTTAGGCCTTTTCTCTGCGTCAACTGGACCAGTTTTCAAAGACTACAAAGCTTTTGCGTCCTTTTAGTAACATTGTGTAAAAATTTCAAATCCGAGTAGTACTTCTCAAGTTAAAGCGGTTATAATATTAGTGGTCAGAGAGTCAAACCGGCAGACCGAAGTAAATGGGTTTCGAGAGGTACATTTCATATTATAGCAGCCAAAAGGCATTATATTGGATTTTCGAAGAGTTTCGCTGCGAAGTAAAATTATGCTAATTATGCAAATGTTGAGGTCCAATATCAATACCTACATGGCGTGGAAAACCTTCGACCAAAATTTCCTTGCTTGTTTCCACTAGTTCATACATTCATTTGCTATTCACCAAGGACATTTGGTCTTTAAGGTCTAAGCCATTGATTCCCAAAGTGGTCTATATCGACCCCTGGGGTGTATGACAACCTGCAAGGGGTCTACGCCAGCGAAAAAAAAAATTGGGGGTCCATGAAATGAATATGGGGGTCCACGATAGTGGATCTCAACACATACACTGATAGTACCTATTTACTTACATCATACTATCTTATAATATCAAAACATATACATTATTTATAAAAGTACCTATGAAGTAAAAAATGTATTATATATGTTTATAAAATTGTGTAAGTTGTAGGATGTTGGTATTCGCTTTGTGGTCGCAATACATTTTGAACTTGTAAAAACCTGAGAGTCGCAGTCTCAGAGCTTCGCTACCTTGCACTGACTTGTTCAATTCGTCACTCTATAAATACGAATACGTTTATTCGTTTCCTGAATCTTGAAAAGGAAAGTGCTAAGATTTTTTTTTTAAAAATATAAACAGATAGTATATCACACAAGTTATAGTGAGTCAGTGTTATTTTGTTTGACAGTGCTGGAGAAAAGTAAGTACATTGTTTTTTATTAAATTTTAGTTTTGTACTCGTAGTTAGCAAAGATAGATAAATTACGCCAATCATGACTTTAGTTATTAGTAGTTAAATATTCAGTCATGCAAAATTACACGAGTACTCCTCAATAGTTTCTTTTGAAAGTTTTAGCAATCGGTAATATAATTACAGTGCAATCTCCGTAATTCGAGCTAATTGTTGCAAGAAGATGTTCGAATTATGGAATGTTTTCGGAAAAATCAAAAAATATTTTTAATATACAGCTGCTGGATTCTCTGTCTTATTTAAATAATTTAATGTCGCCCACAGATGACTGATGCCATGTCCGAATCTAAAAAAAAGTAGACAGTAGTAGTACAGTGTTGATTATTTGAAATTTGGCTTCATTCCATCATTGCCGGACAAACAATCGCCTATGTGCCTTTTATGCAACAAAGTTTTGGGCAATGACGCTATGAAACCATCTAAACTGCAAGATCATCTGAGAAGATGCCACCCTGATAAAAAAGATTGAAATACTTTCAAACACTCAAAGATAAATTGCAGAAGAGACCTACACTGGACAGAATGTTCGCTTCGACGTCACAAAGAAATGATGATGGTTTGCGGGCGTCTTACAATATCTCGTTACTTATAGCAAAATCCGGAAAACCGCATACTATCGGAGAGAAAATAATTTTGCCAGCCGTTGAAGAGGTTTTAAAAACTGTTTTACACAAACCTGCATCTGATATCATAAAAAGAATTCCCTTAAGCAACAATACTGTTGAAAGAGGTATTGATGAAATGAGTTCTGACATTGAAAGCTTCTTATGTAATTATTTGCAAACGAACCATTTCTCTATACAACTGGACGAGTCAACTTTACCTAATAATGCAGCATTATTATTGGCATATATGTTCGTTTTATTATGAATCAAGAAATCTACGAAGAACTGCTCTTCGCAAGAACTTTGATAACCGACACTAAAGGTGAATCAATATTTCATGTTTTGAAGGATTACTTCAATGAAAAAGCAATTCCTTTATCAAATATAATATCAGTAACTACAGATGGAGCACCTGCCATTGTTGGACGTTATCGTGGATTTATAAGCTATTTAAAACAAAATGTGTCAGGGGTGTTAGCAATACATTGCGTCATCCATCGACAACATGAATCACTTCATTTAGTCGTTGATGCAGTAAACCGAATCCGAAGCAACGCGTTGAATATGCGGTTATTTGCGTAGCTGTGTGAAGAAAATGACGAACACTTCCATCAATTACTCCTTCATACTGAAGTACACTGGCTGTCGAAAGGCTTATGTTTGACAAGATTTTTTGAACTTTTTCAGACTATTTTAGAATTTCTGGATGCTAAAGATACAATTTTAAAAGAAAATTTAATGAAGAGGAAAACAGACATCGCCTATTTAACAGATTTGTTTACAAAATTTAATATGGTTAATTTGCAATTACAAGGCGACAGTTTAAATTTGATTAAAACAAAGTCCATCTTATCAGCGTTTCTTTCCAGAGTTAAACTAATGAAGCAAAATATTGGACGGGGCGAATTTTCTCAGTTCCCCAATTTGTCACAGACAAGCTGCCAGGAAGACGACCTTTCAACTTACGTTCAACATTTAAATGCCCTCTATTCAGATTTGAATCTAGGTTTGAGGATATTTTGACTATGGTAATACCACCGTGGGTAATTAATCCATATGGTGACATAGAAGAAACGAATGTCATAATAAAAGAGGAACTGACTGAACTAAGTACAAACGAAGAACTTAAGGTTCAGTTTAAAAACGGATATCAGCAATTCTGGCTGCAAAACAACATACCCGTTACTTATCCCGTATTATGGAATATAGCGAGGAAATTTTTAATTTCCTTTCCATCGTCATACCTAGTGGAAAGGCTGTTCAGCGCTGTTACCAATCTCCTAACGAAAAAAAGAAACAGACTGGACATCATTAGCCGAGGAGATTTAAGATTAACCCTTACAAAATTGACGCCAAATGTTGATAATTTATTATTAAAGCGTCAGGTTCATCCTTCTCACTAAAAATATTGACTTATTGCTTATGTTATTTTATTTCTAGTGTATTTTATGTTTATTGTGTCTGACCAATAAATGCTCGCATTGGGAATAAGTGCCCGCATTGATTTTTTAAAGATCCCCCCTATATAGAAAATATTTTTTTTAAATTATTCTCAAAATTCAAGGATAGGTACACACTAAAATTAGTTTTTTTGCCTATTTTAGATAACTTAAACGTATAAGAAGCGGAATTTAATCAAACTAACAGTGAAATTATTGTAGAACGTACGTTTATGTTATAATTAATAACGAACTCGCTTATTGTACTATTTTAAGTAAAAAACTTTTTTTTATTTTCACTTTTTTTATTTTATCCGTCTTATTTTTTTCCAATGCGTGCACTTATTCCCAATGCGGGCACTTATTGGTCAGACGCCTGTTTATTTACTGTTATGTATATTTTACATAACAGATACAAAGTTTTATTTTGAGTAGTTTTAATTTAAATTCAATTAATAAATGTATAAATTAACATGTGTTTTTACTTTAAGTTTTTAACACTAAGCTTCACTACAGTTAGAAATTTACAGGAAATCAATATCAGGCAAGTAGGGGGTCTACCCAACACGGATGTCTACGACACAAAAAAGTTTGGGGAACTCTGGTCTAAGCTCTGACAAGCTGCAACGAACAACTCTCTGGCAAAGATTGGCTATCCAGCAAAAGCGAATGTGCAGGAAATTGCTGCCTTAAATTATTTTTAAAGTTGTGTCTTAAAAATTAGTTTGGTGTACGTACTATAAAGTCCTCGGAAAAAAAGAGTAATTTCAGTTTCCCGGCAATTACCAAAGCAGTCATAAAACAACCCTCATAAAAGAAGCCGTCTTAAAACCTTAAAACCTTGGACCCAATTAAACTGCACCGCTAGCGGATATATGGTCGAACCCCTTCAAGTAAAAAACCACCTTTCCCATTCTTTGAATATTAATCAGCTCGTAACTCACATTAACTAGCTGTCTTCAACTTTTTATGGCATTTAAAGTATCCTGATATTCAGACACCACTCAAAGTTGTTTAGGTACAAAAAAGTGTCTAGAATACCCAGCTAGTACACTAATGTCTTAAAAGCTCCGTAACAGGTGTTCTCCTTTCCCAAATTGATACCTTTATGTGAGAGCTCAGGATTATAAAAAAAGTTACTGCTGCTCCCTTCCTTAAAATTCAGCCAGGCATCACTGTCGTGTATCAAAACTCCGAAGTTAACAAATAAAATTTTGTATATTTTATGGATGCAAAGCAATACGTTCTTGGTAAACAACAACTCAAGAGAAATGAAAGATGGGCGCTGGCGGAATTCGAACAGCTCTTTCATTCGGTGGACCCGACCTAACGAATTAGTCTTCAGCACCAGCTGCCAACCAACTTTCAATATCTGTTAGATGCAAATTCATTTCTACCCTCGCCACTGTTCCCCGGTTCTTTCAAGCTGCTTGGTGCCCCATCTGGTGGTATGCGCTCATCAGAAATATCAGGTGACTGTCCTATTACGGTGGTACCGTGGCATGTACCTACGAGGCGACGTGGTGCAGCTACAAAGTAATTAGATATTCCTTACCAATCCAGTTTGTTTCACTAGAACGCCGCCAGATGAGGCATCGAGCAGCTTGGAAGAACAGAGGAACAGTGGCTGGGTAAGATTCAATTTGACTCTAACAGACGATCCTAAAAGTTGGTTGGCAGCTGGTACTGTAGACTATTTGGTCAGGTTGCGTGGATTAATATCTGAAACTTAACCGGTGGTTTTCATGCAGATAATCCGCCATGTTTGTCTGGCCGAATCAAACCACGTATGTTTGAAACTCTTCTTTATTTTCAAACATTTCAGTCCAAACAATAACATATTCCACGTTCTGATAATATATTTTGTTTATTTGTCACCAGTCAACTAAACAACAGCTGAATAGGACCTGTTTACTTTGCGTCTCTTCGACCGTAACCAACCGTTCTATGCTTTTTAGCAATCATTAGTACAGGGTAGGTCTAACATATGTCCTACACGTTCTGGCACAAAATTCATTGGCTCTCACAATAAACACAAAATAATATCAAGTTGCCTTTGGAAGCAAAAGTTTGTTTACTTACTTTACTTTCAGTTGATGACGTATAAATCAGAAATGAGAAAAAGTATCTACAAGTTGGTTGGGCGGGTACCCAAAGCTGAAATCTGTCGAATGTTCCAGAATGAAAACATTGGAAGACCAAGTGCATTTACCGCTCAGAGGTCAGATAGATTGGTGAGAAGAGCAAAAAATCAGGTTGCCATATCAACAAGGAGACTGACAGATCTTCTAAGAGTGCGATATCCTTGGATTTGAGGAGGCATGGTCTTAAATATCGAAATAAACTTAAGTGCCCCAAATACTCTCAAGTACAATTCGTTCGTATACCAAGATGCTGAAAAGTATTTCACCTTGAGCAATTCTGAAATGAAGGGAAACGACTGCTTTTATACGGACAACATAGAGGAATGCTCTGACAATGTTAGATACAAACATAAAGCGAAATTTGCAGATAAAGTTCTTGTCTGGTGCGCAATTTTTGACAGGGTGTATCCCAACCTTTTGCGGGCAGAGTGAGGGGTGAAGTTTTGAGTAGTCAGAGTTATATTAATCACTGCCTTTCAAAATTGCTTCACATTGTCCACGATTATCATGCTGATAATACTGCGTTGTAATTTATGATAACTTGTTAGAGTTCAAATAAATTTCTTCATTAAAAAAAAACGATTACTATTTTGTGCCAAAACTTTACGTTAATCATTTTGATTCAGGTCACGGAAAGCAGACAGGAGAATTGGGCCTGTTTCTCCAAATTAATAAGCCTATACCATAACAATGTTGTATCCGATTGGTCGTGGTCGCATAAAAGGAAACCAAACAGGTTCTATACGGCCTGTATATCATTTCTGGAATTTTTGCATAGAACGTTGTTATTGCTGCTAGCGCGCTGGGTACTTGGTGCCCCTCGATTTGACAGTATGTCGTGTCAAAAAGTCTAATGACCACTTTTTCCATTCTATGAATATTGAGTCAGTCCAAAACTCTCATCAAAAGACTCTCTCAAACTGTTTTACAGCATTCTAATCAGCTTGATGCATCTCCATCGAAGCTGCGTAGGTATGTAAAAATATGTATAAATACTTAACTAATACACTGATGCCCTGAAAGCGCTGTAACAGGTGCTTCCGTTTCAAAATTGATGCCTTTGTGCGAGAGCTAAGGATTATAAAAGAAGTTACTGCCGTTCCTTTCCCTAAAAGACAGCTGAGCATCACAGTTGTTTATCAATCCCGGATGGAAGCCAAAAAGGCCTCACCGCCCTTCTAAAGGCGAACGAAAGTGCCGTCTCTTCAAATGTAAATAGCGGCTTTACTGGTTGATTAATGGATATACTTGTGGAGAGTTTTGTTGACAAGATGGTGTGGTAGGCTGAAACGGCTTCTTCGAGTATTTCAAGTATTTCTGTTAATATTTACAGTCCACGAATCGTATTTGACGTGCTTTTTCGAATATTTACTTTGATGCATCGTATCGTACATCAAAAAAGTGTTTCAATCATGTTTCTACAATGTTATCATTGCCGTTGTTATGAATTATACTAGCAGCAAATTCCTTCAAATGTGTGCTATGCCAATTTTTGTAAGCTTAAATGTTATAGAAGCAGACCTTCTACTAATACACTTTTCCATTTGTCGAATAAGTTTCTACGGAAGCAGAGTCTTTTGAAGGTTAATCCTAACGTTTCAGGTAAATCCACCGAATCGTTGGAATATTGTATGACTTTTCCCCATATTAGTATTGAAGTAAACTTTGCTACGTCCGTATACCACTGTTAATCATATCCAAAATCGAAATGGAGGTATTTTCAAAAAACTGTTCTTGGTCACCATTTATTCCGTCGGTATGTCTTTCTGTCTGTATGTGAACTAATTCAAGGTCACTACTATCCAAAGGACGAAAAAGATTTATAGTTCTTGAAAATCGGTCCAGGGCCAAAAATATTAAAAAAGATAAAAATCGCTTGAACTTGGTTTTTTGACGTTACCTTTTGGTAGAAGTTTAAATTAGCGGGTGGGGAATGGACGAGGTGGGAGAGATTTGTAAAAATATTTCACACACCATAGATATCCCCATACATTTGCCTTTAAAACTTAGATTGATGCAGAAATGTTTTTGATCTGGGTACTCCTGCTATCCAGGCACCCCGCCCGGCGAACCGGTCTGGCTGACTAATCTATCCGTGCTGCAGCGGCTGCAGTGCAAAAAACATATACTCGAATCATGCATGGAATAAACGATAGCTCGTTGCAGCGATGTCAGGCAGATGCGGAAAGGGGCACCGTTGCCAGATGGACAGCAACTGCCAGTATTGGAGGGAAGGAATGTCTCTGGACTGTTTGTATGTGCCTGACTTACTCCGTTGTCAATGTTCGTGACTGACTTTTTCTCAGATGATTTAAATTACGCTAAACTTAATCTTTTATGAACTGATGACGGCATTTCGTAAAAAGCGCAGGGTCAACCACACCATTTCTTTTCAATACGGAGGGTCGAACGGAAAAGCTATAAAGTAGCAAACTAGGAA